AAAAAAAAAAAAAATTAAATATATGTTTTTAACCGTATTATAAACGTAGCTAGAGTATTTATATTTTATATATAACCATTATACATTATGATTGTAGTGCTGATATTATTTATCGTTTTAAGATTTGACATTCAATAAAATATATATATATACATTTCATATTAACAAAATKTTCTCGTTTATACAAATTTTTGSTTTAATAATGAATGAATTGAATATTTTTTTCTATGTTTGTGCACAGAATGAATATCTATAATTGTATGTTTCCGCCACATGCCGTATTTGGCGCGTGAATTTCCGAGTTTCTAATGGCCTTAATGATTTTATATAAAAAAAGCACACGGCAGACAAATTTAATAGATCTACAATTTCTTTCAATTAAAAAAAAAAAAACACAAATGTATGCAAGTATAGTACGTATTTTATTACGACTACTGACTGGCAGGAATAAAATTGTTTTTATAGATACTATAATATGTTGCCCGAAAAAGTATATAAAAAGTAATTTTTTTAGTATCAAATTAGTTCAAGGTTTCTACAGTCAGTATTTTAGATACATGTTGTGTATATATACATTTATGATCATTTCAAATCGAATTCTAATGTTTCATGCTAAATTATCCAAAACAATTTAATTTCTATCTGAAAAAAACCCAAATTATTTTATGTTTCCTTAAAACTAAAAATATATTTACGAAAATTATCATCTTTAAATTCAAACGACTTTTGGTTATATAAAATTGAACTTGTACTATATTTTCGTTTCTTTAGAAGTATTCAGTTAATCATAATTAAGTACGTATAGTAAATAAATACATTTTTCTAAATAAATTTGTAGATAATATAGGTGTAGCCGTATATAGTTATGTTGTTTTATTATTATTGCTTCGATGTCTTCTCTTATTTATTTCTTATTAAAATATATAGTTATATTTTATTGATTACGCATAAATTCTATATATTTTTGGATGTAATGATTGTATTCTTATGTTATTATTTTTTTAAAGCGATTACAATCAATTATTAAGAGCCATTTAGTTATTTAACTTTGGAAATGCACATTCCATATTAGTTACAGTCCATCGTGTATACTCGTAAATAATAATAATAATATAATAATATTGGCTATGCTATACTAATGTCTACCCATACCTATCTACCTACCTAATATTTCTACGTTGATTCCATTGATAATATTATTTACGTATTATTTAGGCCMCCGCCAATCTCATATGGTCGTAAAGCGGTCAGTTATGGAGAATTAAAGAGTTTAATAAAACATCCTCGGTATATAACACGCAGTTAGTTTAACCTACTTAACGTATTTCGATGACTGTTGATGGCACGTTAAAAAATATATAAAATACTAGTTTTAGTATAGGTAATTATAGTATAACATAGGTAGATAGAAATGTTTTTTGAACCTTTGATGTATTCTGAATCTGCCAAGTGAAAATATGTCGTCTATACATAAGTACATAATAAGTGTTACTGCAGATCACCTAACTATAACAACTTGTACCTTGTAATAACTTGTCCGAATCAGAAGAAAATGCATTAGCAATTTAATACAAATATACCTATAGGCTATAAATAAACGATATAGTTTTAAAGCACCCCTCAAATATCCAAAAATAAAGTAAATGTCCTAKCTAGTCTCTATATAACTATTGCAATTTAATTATCACTTAATTTAAAAATTTGCCATTTATTATTATCATTAAAAAAAAACTTAATTTAATCTCAAAAAAAATTKATCCTTCCATTTAACGAACACTGTTTGCCATATTATTATTATTATAAATAGTACCTAACCTACGATATATCCATACCATTATGTTATAACAATTAATTTTTTTCATTTATTTCATATCTAATTGCTTATCATCTTGATTTTTACAAATCCTATATGTATTCCGTTCACGTATTATCGCAGGTTGACCTATTGGTACCCACCACCCACTTTCTTCGTTTTCTTTTACAATCAGTAATCTTTGATCAATCATACATACGGTGTAGAACCATCACAGAAACAAAACACTGAACCTGCTGGAAATAAGATTAATTATTTAAAAGGGGTTTAATTTAAATGACTTATACAAGATACAACTATAAAAAAGCAATTAAGTATTGTAGCCCATCACACCCGCAGGACAGCCCTGAACAGCAACACAATCAAATATACGATTTACAATGGTTGATTATCCTGATATAATTATAAGTGATAAATGTTTTTATAATAGATACATGTGTGTACATATATAGTTATTTAAAATGCAATTCACTACACAATCATCTCCAAAATCAGTCATAAATCATATATGTGTCTATGACCTACGTTAACCAATTACCTAAGATAATTAAGTATAGGTATTATACCTATGTATTTATAAATGAACAAGTATTCATAATTCATAATACCTATTATTAAATCTTTAATGCTAAGAGAACCAGTAATCTATATTTATTAGGTTTGATTAATGATTGGAGATGTGAAATTTACCAGTAAAAGTATTTTGGTAAAATATAGTAAAATTTGTAAAAAAACTTTTTAAGTGTAATTTTTATTCTATTTTCAGATAAAGCTTACGTGCCCAATTTGTTAGCTTCTCAAAACTTTTTAATGAAGTGTTTAGATATAGGATGAATATTTATTTTCATTTTTACAATCTACCAACCTATAATCCTATTCTAGTCTACATAGTATATTCGATAATATTACTAAACCAAAAATTGCTCTTGGAAAAAAAATCATACCTACTTGTTTAATGTTTCATTCAAAAGTCAAAACAGAAAATAAATACCATGAAATTAGTATTAAAAAATAAACATTATAACTCCAATATCAAAAGTATCAAGAATTAAGATTATAGTATTTGGTATAGCTAGGTACAGTATACACTAAATTACAGTGCCTCCACTTAAAGCCGTATAGGCACCTTGGCTACACAAATAAAACGTTTTTACGCTAATAACAATAAAATGAAATTAAGGAGTCATTCGAATTTATCATTTATGAATGGTAAAAGAAATTAACCGGTTAGAAAACATATCGGTAAAATTACCAAGCTTATTCGTTGGTACAATTTATCGAGCTCACATCTTTGGGTTTGATACAYTTATAGACTAGGTTAAGTTACACAATAAAATTATTGTACTCTTCTTTGTAGAATTGTACTTTTTTATAGTGTAAAAATAATCACAGCACCAAGTTTAAACACCTATATTTATCAAATATTCTATAACTGCATTTATTGACTGTATTATTATTGTACTAAGATCTACATATATTATCTTTAGTGCAGGTAAACCTACTAACATGTGCATTAGTGAAATATAATCAACAAATATGGATATATGTATACTATATAGTATAGGTACTGGCTAAAGTAGTCTATTATTGGCAGGTACTTAATTTATTACTACCCATAACCCATAATTCCTATCCAATAAATTGTATTTATATTTTTTTATTGCTTCTAAATTTAATAGATATAAATTACCTGTATACTTGATAGTTAGTTGATACATTCTTATTTCTTATACAATGTACCTACCTATATCAGTAGTCATTTGAACTTTGAAATATCAAATTTAATAAGCTGTTACGTATTTTAATGTTAATACAAAAGAAATATTAGACTAGAATATTTAGTTAAAAATATATATCTACCTGTAGATTCACATCTAGATTAAACATGTACTGTGAATTGTGATAATAGTAAGTGATAAGTCGATTATTCGATCATGAGCTGTCTTATAAACAGATACACATCCTTCTCACTTTAAGTAAGTAATGAATGTATGTATTGTAATGTCTCTTATGTTGTAGTTGTTTAAATAAAATAAATAATAAGTACAAATTAATCAAGAGTTATAGATTATTATTGAAAATAACATACGTAATAACATGTACCTACCAATCTAAGTTAAAAAAAGGTTAATAATTTAAGAATGTAATGATTTTTTAAACATTATTTTAGATCTAATATTTGACATTAAAAATTATAACAAAATAAAAATGTACAAAAATATTAAATTATATTATAATACACTTAAAATTTAAATATTGTTAAATTATGATACGACGATACATCTCCGGTATGGTCTAGTGGCTAGGATACCTGGCTTTCACCCAGGAGGCTCGGGTTCGATTCCCGGTACCGGAAWAACTTTTGCACTTTTCTTCTCCAAATATAGATTTTATCAAAGTTGTATTTTAATTTATGATTTGTATTTTTTTTGTTTACAGATTCAGACTCCTGGAACCGGGCTATTTTCTTGTCCATCGGGTAAGTTTTTATTTTATATTGATGCATAATATTTATAACGGAAAAACATAATCAATAAAAAACAGCAGTTTCTAATACCTACCAACTCTAAATATATGACGTTTAATAAAAAATACAATGCTATATATTTTTTCATTCTTCAAAAATTGAATTTTTTGCTATCCATGTGTCGTAAGTATTCGAGTTTCTTTCGATGATTATTACATATTTTATAATCACATAAACCCAATACCTAATGATGACGATATTATGAAATTCAGTCATTATTGCGTCTTTTCAATTTTTTTCATAAAAATCTTGTCTAGAAAAAAATTATAATCAGTTTTACATTTCATCCTTTCACGTCTGCCTCAGCAACTATTATTATTATTTCTGTATTATGACGTACACGTGTTGTAACTTGTAACACGTTTTCAGTAGAAATTATTATACAAGCAGAGGCAATGACTTCAATGGTCGTATTTGAAACTTTTCACCCGCATAAATAATATTTATATTAAAGAGCTCATATTTGTATAGGCTGCACACAACATAATGTATACTTATTGTCATTATATTATAATAATAATGTGCATACAGCATACATATGATATGATATTCATATCACGTGTTTTTACTCATTTTATTTTGGGTAAATATCGAAATCGTCAATTACTGCGATGAATAAACAGATTACACAGTCATATTCAATTTCTAAAACCGTGTGTCGTGTATTGTTATTCTGATTACTTACCTTCAGTATAAATGTATAATGTATTTTAATATTAGTTTCTAGCTAGTAGGTATACAGTCGTGTCTTACATATTATACCTACTGGCTACTATGATGGATTTTGATAAATTGCTGTCGGGTACGTTTTATTTTTTTCGAGTAACCATCCGAGTCTTCGACGTCAAAAAAATTGTATTTTTTTTAAAAATTTTTAACGCATTCTATAATATTGTATTATCTATWCACAGTTTTATATTGTAGAGGTATTGGTCGGTTATTTACCTCGGCGGTAGCGCGTATTATGGTACACCAGTATATCATATCATCATAACCGAATGTAAACTATAAAAATATTATGCCCTAAGTTAATGGAATGGAACTATCTATATATTATTRTATTATTTACCGCTGGTGGAGCGGATTATGTATAATATATTATAATAATGATAACGATATCGAACATCGAGCCAGTGGGTGGGGTGAGTGGGATAGTTAATAGGTATGACGAAGACGACGGACAGCGCGCGCCATCGGCCAGTCAATAACAAATAACAATACGTTAAAGTAATTACATCGGTGAGCGGCTTGTACCTGGTCCACGGGAYGGGCGAGCGGCGAGGAAACCGAATTAAATTCGTGATGGACGCGAATGGAGCGCCCGTCGACCGTACCGTCGTCACTCGTCACCAACGTGTTCATTGTTGTGTTTTGTACGACGACAACAATATAATTTAATGTAGTATAATATTAATAATAAACGTATAATAATAATGATGAGGACGAGGACGACGACGGGACAAACGGACGATGAGACAAAAATAAAATAACATAAGGGCTGTATCTACGATAGTTATTAKAATACAGTAATATATTATTATGTGTATGAATTTATGATGCATAATATAAAATATTGATATTATATTGTCGAGTCTTCTTGGACCGTACGGTGGCGAAGGTCGCTGCGGTAGTTCAAAGCAAAACTCGCGTAGTCTTCTTTTGCTCTGCGGAGCGGTCTCCGAGGCGACGAATATACATAGACCGCACAATGACCGGATACCATGTTCACGTGAATGGCGGCGGCCGACACAATGAAACAATGACGTCGCCTGTATACACCATACACATGTGTAACCGCGTAGGTATTATACGTCTCGACAGATAAATATTATTAAACATACTGGCGCGTTGTACGAGAATACTGCCGAGTCCAATATTACAGAAACTGTACGCTGTGTACACTGTACAAGTACAACAACCGTACAGGTAGTAAATCCAACGATTGTAAAAATTTCACTCTGCACGACTCGATGATAACGAAAATATTTTGTATTTATTCTGCGGTACATGTGCCTATAGTATATACCAAACAATGTACCAATGTACCTGCAGCAGCAGCCCTGCGAACGGATAATAAAAGAATAATGGACACAAAGAATTAAATGCGCGCGCATCGTCATTCGTCCGCAGCCATGCTTATTATACCCGATGGGGGGCAGCGCTCCCTCGAAGTCTGCAGCCCATATTCGCCCCGGAGACGAGCTGTATAGTCGCGGTTTCCTCGCACCGTCTTATTATTCTATACCTAAAGATTGATTCGGATTTCGAAACGACCACCACTATATTATTATATTATATATKTATTGTTATATAATGTACCTATACTGCACGATCACAACGATAATATGGGCCCGAAAGAGCTACTTATATGCGATGACGATGTCTTGTCGAAAATTCTCTGTACCTACACGAGTACATAGGAATAACATACAAATTATTATTAACTAGGTTTAGTATTGGAACCCGAATGTGATTGTGATTTTTTTTTTTTCATTTTTCGTTTTGTTTTATTTTTTTTGTTACTCTCGAACGTGACCGACTCTTCGCCGTTATATAATGGTAGGATATTATTATTATTATCGTTCATACACGGTGCTGCAGTGTGGAATATATTATGTACATAAATATCCCTAGCAGTTACCGTTTTTTACTTTTTTTCGCTAATCGTACCGCTTATATGAGCGTCAATTTCGAATAAAAACCGCAGACCATGTGTTGGTAATATATATATATATATATATATATATATATATATATACAAGTGTGCAGTGTACATATTAAACTGATAATGGGTACGTACGTCGTATATAGATACGTACGCGAACTCCCGGTTTTATTTTTAATAAACAGACGATGATATCGTGCTCGTGAATATATTACAATATTATACTGCAATAATAACTATGATGTAGGTATAGAACACGACTGCTCAACTTTTGTGGACGCCAGTACAACAAGTATATTATCATATTCAGGGATGGGAATTTTGAGGGTGGGAACCGCATGTCGTAACTCACTCACGTTGAATATAATATTACTAATAAGACGCATAATCATGAGCGCAACTACAGACTTTGTCTCTCTCTCTTCACAGCCCATCCGCGTCTAACTTTAACAATAATAAATATATGAACCTACTAATATCGTACTTGCTACTAAAAAATAAAATAAATATATTAGTGGGAGGCTGGTATTGGGCAAAACGTATTAAATTATAAATGTAATTCTATTCTATTAGAAAATAACTATAGATTCRTGAGACGTAAATTAAAATAACCACGAACGAAAAATATCATAAATATTAATTGTAGTTARCTGGTATGTATATTAAACCCACCGCAGCCCGCAGGCGAGTAATTAAATTAAATTTTAAATTGGAGCAAAAATCGTTGATTGTATTGTTACGTTTTTTTTTTAGTATTTATCTATGTAAAACTATTCGCCACTCTAAAAATTATTAAGGTAATATACTAAATATATGTATAATATAATATATACGCCAATTATACACACATATGTGTAATGTATATTGTTTGTTATTTTGAAGATTTTTTGTGTTTATGTCCACATATAAATTATAATGGATAAAAGCTCTTCAAGAAAAACAGCGTGATTCATAACGATTTCCGGAATCCTAACAATATTATAATAATTAATAATTCGTGTAAATTTATCATTTATAAGCATTTAAACCATCTTAATTTAGCCAGTGTTCTATGATATGTAGGTAACACACTAACACACGATTCGAGCTGTATATAATCATATCTGAATGTCATAAACCTACACAGTAATAAACTAATAACTATATACGAAATTATTGTGTGAATTACAACGGAACTGCGTCTGTCGGTAGCTAATATAGTTTTTAATAGATTACGGAGCAATTATAATCGATTTCGCTAAATAGACTCGAAGATACCAACATCACAGCCATTATAATTATATGTATCACGTGACGAATATAATATAATATWATTATTTGTATTTATAATTCGATTCGCATCAAACAGTATTGATTGATGATCGTTATTCGTTACGTATATGGTCTATTATCATATTATAGTTGGTAGGTATTTAAGGTGTACCTWTGTATAATCAGGGGCGTCTCTATATCGAATTGGGGATTGGAAAGATGTAAATAATATTATAAAATATAAGTATATAACGGTTATGAAGGAGTGCAGAGGAGAACGCTTCCATCCCTACTCGAGGAACTAGCAAGTTACAGAGAATTATATAACATATTAATTAATACTAAACAATTTAATAGGCTTCCTATAACCTGTTGACTATTGGCTATTGATGCGTTACTCCTCGGAAAACAGATGAAGCGTTTCATCGGACCAAGGAATTGATCTTGATCAGGACTCGGAAATAATACTCGCTTATTGTTATCGTTTAATCAACTTACACGACACACCACTCACTATAATATCATTATGCATATTTTATTATTTTGTCATTTGTTCAATAACCTATATAATATCTATGCAGTTTGCACCGTAGCTACACGAACGTCGTACGATATTATTAATATTATCTTATTCKGTAAAATTTGCAATAATTATTGTACAAGGTATCATATTATTATGATGTGTAAGTAGGTATCTTCAATACATAAAAACAGTTATACCCTACGGGTTTATATAATTATTGCTGTACAAACAATGCAATATAATATAATGTAATGCAGTAATAAATATTAGTTATCTATTACTCTATTAGTGATACCTACTATAATAATTATATAGGTAGTTACTTAAAAAAAATATACTTAATAATTTATTGAAACTTTCGAAATATTAACTATAACATTTAGGTAATAAGTTATTAAGTTATATTGTCGTGTTATTTTAACTTACCAATTAAAAAAGATTCGTTTAGTAAAAATTCAAATTAGAGTTTTAAAACAGTTATTTTAAACTGGTTTTTTTTTTATAATAAATACT